GCGATGTCCACAACAACAAGCTCACAAGTTGCGCTATATCATTGAAATGGAAAATAAAAAACAGCCCGGTCAGCTACTCGGTAGTAGAGTGGGTAGCACGTTTGCGTTTTGCCAAGGATGTCCCGGTTTCGATTCCCACTTGGGTAGAAGGAGTTGCACTGCTGATGAGACCCAATCGAGTTCGGAACAGCTGTACAGTGCTTGCTAGCTTTTCAGTTCACGCTTGATTTGCGACAAATTTCCCCTTTGAAATTGAATCAAATCCTCCACTACTCTCATGAAACCCGGATCTCCCGTTATCAGTGAGCTTGTTCTATCGCGCCATAGTTGACAATCACTTGCAGTGACCTCCTGGGAAATCGTTATTCATTCATGGTCATTAGGAGTACCGCAAGCATACGGCTACAATCATCAGGGTGCCACTTGACTGTAGCTTCCAACAGTTTGTCAACTATTGACTCACCAGTTGTCATGCTGAAGAACAATCCAGGATGTTTACCGTACCCGTTTACAAACCAAGTCGGATGTGTAATCTACGGGGGTGCATAACCTTTCTCGTGGTGGTCGTCGATAATATCAAAAATGATGATCACACATGAGAGCAGAAAATATCCAAGAATTATGGATGGGGGGTTTACACCTTTCTAGCGGGATGTAGTAATTATGATTAGTCGTGCTTTAGCTGTGAAAAAAATGCTTGGCCTCCATAGACTGCATTGGTTGGGGTATATGTTGCACGTGTCACCATGCCACGGACACCACGGCGAGTGCTGTTTGCCTTGGTAGGTGATCGGTGGAAAAATATCACGGGTGAGCAAATTAAGACTTGGTATGAGGGTATGAAAAGCCTAGTCAAGGGAATTGCTCACATAGATCGCGTTCTGCTCAGTGGATGGAAACCTCGGGATAATTGTGATAAATGATAGTGTTACTCAGTGGTATGGCCGAATATCTAAAACAGTGGCGGTCGGCTATCTACTCATTATACTTGCAACCTTAGCCTCCATGAATTCTCTTTTTTCACTTTGACACTGATTTGAACATCCCATTCTTCTTTGAATGCGATGGAAATGCCTGTGATAACCAACAAAGAGCACTGGACAGCTGTTTCGTCCTGTGCGGGACTCGTCATCAGTGCGTAAATTTTTGTGTCCCAAACATTCACCATCTAAACTTCAGTCTTCTCTTTACATCTTAATTCAAATGAGCAATCATGAGATAGAAAACCAAAACCGACGCACGAAATTGCATGGCTATGAAAATGGAATTGAACTGAGCTTTCCCTAACCTTAAACGTTACTCTAAAAGTTCAACGAACATGTGTGTCCCTTACTGGGTTGGATCTCAAACCCTGGTGTGAATCGTCATGAATTTCTCGGACAACCAACATCAGTTGTTATCCACTCTGCATTGAAATTCCGTTTGGAGAGGGTTAATCAAAAAGAAAATCACTGCCGTTTCGTTCTATGACGTTGTTGATGACAGAAAAACGCATGGAGTCAACGAAGGGGATGATATGTTAAAAGTGGACAACACTCGATGCGGCTGTTGGTGCTGGAATACCTTTATTTTTTTTAATTTTCCACTTCCTTTTATTGAATATTGATCAATACAATTCGAGAATAAATTCATTTTAACACTAGAAGACAAGTCCGAAGGCGAAAAATTGTTTTCAAATGATTCATGGTCATCATGTCAGGATTGCTCATGAGTCCCAAACAGGACGAAATAGTTGTCCAGTGCTCTTTGTTAGTCATCGCAAATATTTACGCCGCAAATGAATGCATTCAATTAGTGGAGAATTAACGATCTCCCAAGGAGCGAAACCCACACCCAAGACCATCAAGAGTGTCTGGTGCATCTGAACAATATATATATAACTGTTTTCTCCGAGAACGTCTTTAATTTTTTTAGTTCTTCATTGTCAGAACAGATCTTGCGCGCTCTTGATGCGTGAGTCTAAATCAGATTTATTTTCTGCCTGAGTGGGACAGAGATGGAAAGGTTCGTATATTGTCCCGTCCAAGTTGGTTTTTGACGCATTCGACGCTCCAAGGAACAATTATCTTTTCGGAGAAGTGCCACGTCTAAGAAGGCCAATTTATCGTTTGGTTCGGTTTCCAACGTGAATCGAGTCGATCTGTGAGCTTCGTTGAATATTTGGAGTACTAGTGATGTTCCTACCTTTCATATAAGACAGAATATGTCGTCCATGTAGCGCCAGTGCAGACTCATTTGCTCTTTTTCTTGCTTCAACGTTGTATTTTCTAATTTAGCCATAAGTAAATCTGCTAATAATGGGCCTAATTGGGTACAGGCTCTCCACTTACCCTGGCCTCAACTTAATCATCAACATCACCACCACTAGCATTACAATCACAATCGATCTCACCCAAACACAGACCCATAGGGCTCACCCCTTCTCCCTACCCTCTCACCATCCTGAATGAACTGTCGACCCAGCGTGAAAATGTGTCCACACTAACAACAAATCCTTATATGATCTGTACAGGTAGGATTATGAATTATTCGAAAACAATTATTCGCATTCGAACTTATTTTGTATACAATAGTAATAATAATAATATCACACAGCGAATGGGGATAACTAGGAGGCGGTGGTGGGATTCCAGCATGTCCTTTGGTGTGATTGCTTGGTTACCTTTATTGCTTGATCACCGTCAATATGGCTATTCGAGAAGACATTTTTCACGCTGCGGCCCCATACGCAGCTTAACTACGAGCTGATAGAACAATATGTTTTTGCGTTCTAATCGACAGCCTTACTGTCACTGCTTCAAAGCCGGATGATACTGAACAAACGAAAATGAAGTGTGCTACGTGAAGCTACGCTAGTGTGTTGCTCGAAGTCAGCAGTGTAATCTCTGCGGAAATTAGTGATCAACGGTGTACTTTTTGAATATATATATATATATATTCTTCGCCGTTCAATGTACCTGCATGTGGTGGTTGGTAGTCGAACAAAGGCAAGTATACACGTTGCAGTCACTGTAACCTCCAATGTGTACGTTCAGTTTTCGTCAGAATATGGACTCTCCGATAATATGGCATTTGTTCAAGTGGGAAATTCAAATGAAACTCTATATCGCAAGCTAACTGGAAAGCGTATTTGGTTTCAAAATACTGATTTCTATCTTTGAAAAACCTTGAGTTATAACATTTTTGCCTCTTTGTGCTGAAATTTTCAACGCCATTACTCATCGATTACTTAGGTCGGAAGTGTATGTGCTGTCTCATTCGATCACTGATACACTGGATACAGTGATTTGGAACACTAGGCAACACGAAATAGCAGTGTAAGTGATTAACCTGGAATAGGGGCCAAATGACATTTCAGTTCTCCTCCGCCTTAAGAATATTCCGGCATTTCATAGTTTCACCACATATAAATACAAAATCAAACAGGCAATGGTTTCCTAAATGCAACTGCATCAGACGTGTGTGGAATATATATATATATATATATATATATATATATATATATACAACATTGCATCCAACGACAGGCATTTATTTATCATATACAGTACAGTCTAAATCCCATTCCTAACTAATAAAAGATAGATGAAATGACAGATGACAAGTCGAATAGAAAAACAAACACCGTAATTTAACTTGCCGTGGGAACGACATCAATTACGACTCTGGTAAACCCTGCTCAGATAAACATCACGGAATAGTGATCAAACCAGTTGAGTCCCATGTTAAGGGTCCAAGGTC